GGATGGATGGATGGATGGATGGATAGATGGATGGATGGATGGATGATACATAGATGATACACAGATGATACAGATAGATCCAGAAGGAAAATGGGTTCATTCAATCTTCCATCATTTGGTGGAAAAGATGGTGATCAGAAAAGGATTACATTCTAAAAAACATAACAAAAAAACTATAACTGATATACAGTAACAAAGGAATGATGTTTTCAAGCTGTTCGTGTTCACAGTGAGAACATGTAAATAAAAAACAAAAATGTATGGCAGCAACTGCATTACATGGGTAGTGATTGTCCACAACACATAGCCTTCAAATACATCCTATTTCTTCGATAATTATGTCTCCTACTAAACACAGTAGCTATTACTGTGCTATTTGTCATTTGCCTTATAAACAGATACCGTGTTTTAGAAAACGACTGTCACTGCTAACCCTAACCAAAGGAAGGGACCTACAGTGTTAGTTCACCCATTGCTACAGAAAATGCACCCTGACTGAAATATGGATAGAAACTGAAATCAACCAAGTTGATCAAACCTGCCTGAAATATTTGTTTCAGTCAAAGGCTTTTGGTTCAGTCCATTTTCTCACCTAAACCTTGGAATTTTACCACGCAGAGCCATTTAACTTAGTTCATATCTTTGCTTTGGGAATTTGTAAACAATAGGACAGATCTTGCAACCCTCCTGGGCTTCTTCTGTTCTTTTTTTCCTTGTCCAGGAGGGTCTTGTCTCCTTCGAGGACGTGGCTGTGTATTTCTCCAAGGAGGAGTGGTCTCAGCTGGAGCCTCACCAGAAAGCACTGCATTGGGAAGTCATGCTGGAAAATTATAGGACCGTGGCCTTTCTGGGTAAGGGTTTGCTACTCCCCAATCAGAGAGTCCAGGAAGACATTTTGTAGTCAGATGCCATCAGCTATTTCTTTTTTTATTATTATTATTGTTATTTTATTAAATAAATTTTATCAGAGTGAAAACAATACAAGTTTTGAAGAGGAAACAGAGAAGATAGGGTAAAGTAAGCGAATAAGAAAAAAGTAAATAAGTAAATAAAGAAAGAACTAAAGAGAAAAGGAAGAAGGAAAAGAAAAAGTAATAAAGAAGTGGTTTCTGAGTTATAAATGGAATTATATTTTAGCCTCTCTGTCTGTTACATCATGGTTTCCTTCTTTCCATAATTTATCCTTTCTAATCTTCAAACTCATAGATCACAAGCAATCCAACATTTTGCAGCTTTTTTAGAAGTCTACAAGCATGATAAAAAGTTTCTTCATGTTATCCACATTTCCAACGTAAATTTGAAGTGTCTTTATACATTTTTGATCATTTTTTTGCTGTCATATATAGCAAAAGTACATCATTTTATAAAAGTTATCTTTTAGATTATAACAATGTAATTTTCAGTCGTTTCAACCACATATTGTCCCATGGTTCCATCTGTTTATTATGCCCAAAGTCCTTGGCCCCTTTTATCATATTTTCCTTAACCTGTTTATATATTTTAGCAATTATCATTTTCATTTCTCTTTTCCTTTGAAGGTAATGATGGGCAGGAGAATAAAGATTCCAGGGAACTACTCCAAATGATCAGGCATGGAGACAAAATGGAGAAGCCTGCAATTCAAACAGAAGTACAAAGGCATGAGAGAAACCAGTCAAATAAGTGGAAGAAGGAAAGCTCATCTTCCATTGATGCTCAGATGCAAGACTTTGTTGCCCCAAAAGGAAAAATAAAGAAAAAATACACTGGGAAAACTGTAAACCTGTTCAAAGATAAAATAGATGTAAATGAACACTATCCAACCCAAAGCAAAGGAGAAGATTTTATATGCAGAAACAATAGAAAAAGTTACAATTGGACTTTCAGTCTTTCTCATGAAAA